TTATAGGCTATAGATAATAGTTAAGGTATAGATTGGTTCTGCTGTATGGAGATGCTAAGCAAAGAAAAGTAAATAATGCATTGTAACCAAAAGAAAAGTAAATAATGCAATGTAACCTAAACTAAGGGTCTCCAGGCCTGCCTGCAGCTGGAGCTGACAGCTGTGGGCACAGCTCTGTCACCCACAGCCCTGGGCTGCTGAAACCTCTTGGATGGAATAAACTGCATTTTTGGAGAGCCCCTGGAGTCCCACAGCTCTCATTTTGGCTCTCCCAGTGGCGCGCAATGTGGGGCACCATCAGTAAGAGCCTGAATGAGGGATGTTGGTCTCCAGGCCTGCCTGCAGCTGGAGCTGACAGCTGTAGGCACAGCTCTGTCACCAACAACCCTGGACTGCTGTAACCTCTCAGACAGAATAAACTGCATTTTGGAGAGCCCCTGGAGACCCACATCCCTCATTTAAGCTCTCACACCAGACAGCTCCTTTGCCCCCCTCACAGGACGACCAGACTCCTCTGCACTGTGCTGCACGCATCGGCCACACTGGCATGGTCAAACTCCTCCTGGAGAACAACGCCAACCCCAACCTGGCCACCACGGCAGGGCACACGCCCCTGCACATCACTGCCAGAGAGGGGCACATGGACACAGCCCAGGCCCTGCTGGAGAAGGGAGCCTCACAGACCTGCATGACCAAGGTAGGCTGCTGAGCCCCGTGCTGCGGGAGGCATGGCCCAGCTGGGGCAAGGCTGGTGGCACAGTGTCCCTGTGGCAGGAGGGGCAGCCTCCTCCTGTGTTGCAGCAGGTGCCAGCACTCTCCTTCATCTCTGCCACCCTGTGATGGGCTGCATTTCTCCTCAGAAAGGATTTACCCCTCTCCACGTTGCAGCCAAGTATGGAAAGGTGGATGTGGCAGAGTTGCTGCTGGCGCACGATGCTCAGCCCAATGCAGCAGGGAAGGTGAGAGCTGCTCCAGTGGGAGGGGTGGTCTCGTGTGGGGAGAGGCTCTGTCTCACCTGTCTGTCCTGTCTCATCCACTACAGAATGGCCTGACTCCACTGCACGTGGCTGTGCACCACAACAACCTGGAGATCGTCAGGCTGCTGCTTCCCAAGGGCAGCTCCCCACACAACTCAGCCTGGGTAAGTCTGGGCTGGGCTTCCCTGGGCATGTGGGGATGTGGGGATGTGGGGATATGGGGTGTGACCATGTTCACAGGGGTCTCAGGTTGAGGGAAGAGACGAGGATCTGACTCCATGTTTCGGAAGGCTTGATTTATTATTTTATGATATATATTACATTAAAACTATACTAGAAGAATAGAAGAAAGGATTTCATCAGAAGGCTGGCTAAGAATAGAATAGAATAGAATAGAATAGAATAGAATAGAATAGAATAGAATAGAATAGAATAGAATAGAATAGAATAGAATAGAATGATAACAANCAGATGCACCTGTTGCATTCCACAGCAGCAGATAACCATTGTTTACATTTTGTTCTTGAGGCTTCTCAGCTTCTCAAGAGGAAAAATCTTTAAAGACAGGATTTTTCATAAAAGATGTCTGTGACAGTGGGGCAGGCTGGGCCAAAGGGGAGGGAGAGTTCATACAAATGACTGTCTGTCTGTCTGTCTGTCTGTCTGCAGAATGGCTTCACACCCCTCCATATTGCCTGCAAGAAAAACCACATCCGAGTGATGGAGCTGCTGCTGAAGACGGGTGCCTCCATTGATGCTGTCACAGAGGTGGGTGGGCTGAGCCCACCCTCAGCTCTCTTGGTTCTGCCCGTGTGGCAGGATGTGATGTCCCTGCTGCTTCTGCCATACCCCCAGCACCTTTCTTGGTGCTCTTTGCAGCTCAGATTTAGTCTGGCAGCATCATCCTGAAGGGCAAGGAGATGCAGGGGAGACAGCAACTCCCTGTGTTTCCTCCACACTCACCTGCCAGGCTCCTCGGGCAGATGGGGACTCAGATTTTACCTGTCCTGGGGAGAAGGAGGAGGGGACAGTAAGAAATATTACCAAGGCCATAAGTCCCATCTTGTTTTCTGGCCCCTTTCTCTTCACAGTCCGGCCTGACCCCCCTGCATGTGGCTGCCTTCATGGGACACCTGCCCATTGTCAAGACTCTGCTGCAGCGTGGAGCCTCTCCCAACGTGTCCAACGTGGTGAGTCCCACCCTGGCTGGGGCTTTGGGAGCTCAGATTGTTGGGGTTCAGCAGGATATCCAGCTCCTGCACTCTCTGCTCACCTGAGCAGTCCCTGGTGCCCTCTGCTTTGCGCTGAATCTGCCATACACTCACACCATGCACAAGGAACCAGTAGGGGTTGCAGGCACTGCTCTCCTTTGTTCAGAACAACTGCAGAAAGGCATTTCCCCTCCTTTGGCCTCACCACTTTGTCCTGTCTTTGGTGCAGAAAGTAGAGACTCCTCTGCACATGGCAGCCAGAGCTGGGCACACAGATGTGGCAAAGTACCTGCTGCAGAACAAAGCCAAAGCCAATGCCAAGGCCAAGGTAGGTGCAGAGGACCTGTGTGATAATCAGCTCTGGGAACAGCTGGTGCTGGGTTCCTTTGCTGTGCCCAGAGCAGGGCTGGGATCCCTTTGGCATCACAAGAAGGGACTGGTCTGCCCAGACTGTTGGGAAGGATGAAAGTTTGACAAGGAAGTCTCTCAGATATGTGTGCTTAGCAGAAAGATTTTTAAATGTNACACGCGCACGGCGGCCGTGCTGCTGCAGAACGACCCCAACGCTGACGTGCTCTCCAAGGTGGGGGCTTTCCCTCTGCTCTCTCTGGCAGAGCAGCAGCTCAGCGTGCTGTATTTATCCATAGTTTCAGCAGGGAGCGTGGGTCTGGCTGGCTGATCCCTCCTTCTCTCCCTAGACTGGATTCACCCCTTTGCACATTGCAGCCCACTATGAGAATCTCAGCGTGGCGCAGTTGCTGCTGAACCGTGGGGCCAGTGTCAACTTCACACCGCAGGTGAGTGCAGAGAGGGAGGACACTGGGGCTTGTGCTGCTCCAGCACCAGAGGAGGATGCTGTGCCTCTTTATCCATGCAGGGTGCAGCAGCAGCTGCCAGGCCATGCCATAGCTGCACAGCCCTGTTAAACAATCTGTTCCCAGTGCTGTCCCTGGGCAGAGATGCAGCTCTCCCTGCCCTCTTTCCTTTGTTTGTTGCCTCATTGAAGGAGGAGGGAGTGCTCCTTTCTGAGAGACTGTTCATTCCTCCTGACAGAATGGGATCACTCCCCTGCACATCGCGTCCCGCCGGGGCAACATCATCATGGTGCGGCTGCTGCTGGACCGTGGGGCCCAGATAGAGACCAGGACCAAGGTGAGAGCACTCTGAGCACTGCCACCTCCCTCCCTGAGCTCCCTGTGCCCAGTGCTCACCCTGCAAACGCCCTGCTGGCAGTGGGAGAGCTCTCTGGTGCACTAAGGGGATGGAGCAGGTTTTTGGAGAAGGCTGCATGGCTCCAAAGGCGTGCCCTGGGAGCTGAGGTTTTGCCTTATTTTTCAGACAAAGTCCCTGTTATCCCTCTAGCTGAGTGAACCCTACCCTTCCATGCCACACTGAGCCCCTGAACCCTCCTCTCTCCCCAGGATGAGCTGACCCCTCTCCACTGTGCAGCACGCAATGGACACGTGAGAATTGCAGAGATCCTCCTGGACCACGGGGCTCCCATTCAAGCCAAAACCAAGGTACCCCGTGGCTTGGTGTGATTGGTGCCAGGCCCCAGGGCAGCACAGCAGGGTAACAAGCTGTGCACAGTTGTTGGATGGCACCCATGACTGGCTTGGGGCTTTATTTGCCCTGATGAGGGGTTAGGAGCTTCCTGCTCTATTTGGCCCTAGCTGGAGTCCTTTGCCTTGAGGCTCTTCTCCGTGGTTCTCCATGGCTCTCCATAGTTCTCCATGGTTCTCCTTGGTTGCAGAATGGAAAATGGTAGCAGAATTGTCCCCCATCCACATGGCAGCCCAGGGTGACCACCTGGACTGCAGGGTGGGATGTCTGGACCCTTCATGGCCCAGCAAGGCAGGGGTAGGGCNTTGCCAGGCTGGAGACCCCAGAGAGTCTGGAGCTGTCACAGTGCTGAGATCTCCTCTCTTTGCAGAGTGGCCTGACTCCTCTCCACCTCGTGGCCCAAGAGGGGCATGTGCAGGTTGCTGACGTTCTGGTGAAACATGGAGTCACAGTGGATGCAACAACCAGGGTAAAGTAGTGCATTGACCTCTTTTTATTCTTTTATTTTTATTTGTGCAAGAGACTCCTTCTAGCAGGCATCCTTACCATTTTACCTGTATCCTGGCGACTTTTCCTCCTCTTCCCCCCAGCTCTCTGAAGGGGGGATTCTTGCCTGCTCCCATAGCTCACCTCCATGGTGGAGCATTTGAAGCTCTGTGATTTAGTCTTGGGCTTTTGGGAAGCCCCCAGATGTGTGCCTCATCCTCCATGCACGGGGGCTTGCCTGTGGGATGAGCATATCCAAGCCAGAAGGGCAGAGAGCAATGGGGAGGGCACACAGAAACCTGATCTTGTCTTTCAGATGGGCTACACCCCTCTGCACGTGGCCAGCCATTACGGGAACATCAAGCTGGTGAAGTTTCTGCTGCAGCACCAAGCAGATGTCAATGCCAAGACCAAGGTACAGAACTCCAAGGGCCCTTCTGCCATGGGCAAATGTGGTGGTGTTCTCAGGATGAGGGAAGAGATGAGAATCTTGACTCCGTGTTTCAGAAGGCTGATTTATTATTTTATTATATATATTATGTTAAAAGAAAATTATATATTGGAAATATACTAAAAAGAATAGAAGAAAGGATTTCATCAGGAGGCTTGAAAGGAATAGAAAGGAATGATAACAAAAGTTTGTGACTCTCAGAGAGTCCAAGCCAGCTGACTGTGATTGGCCGTTAATTAGAAACAACCAACATGGGCCAATTAAAGATGCACCTGTTGCATTCCACAGCAGCAGACAATTATTGTTTTTCTTTTCCTCTGAGGCTTCTCAGCTTCTCAGGAGACAAATTCTGGCAAAGGGATTTTTCAGAAAATATCATGGCAACATCACATGGGTTGATGGGGAAGTGGAACTGTCCCAATGCTCCAGGTGTGAAGCCTGGGGGCATTTCTGGGGCAGCACCTTGCAGAACTGATTGCAGCACGCTCTGTCCTCCCCTGTAGCTGGGCTACACGCCCCTGCACCAGGCAGCCCAGCAGGGCCACACGGACGTGGTGACGCTGCTGCTGAAGCACGGAGCATCGCCCAACGAGATCAGCACAGTGAGTGCCACACATCCCTGCACCTCTGCACTCCCTGAGCTGCCCCATGGCTGCTGCTGACCCTCTTTGCTCCCTGCACAGAATGGCACCACTCCCCTGGCCATCGCAAAGCGCCTCGGCTACATCTCTGTCACCGACGTGCTCAAGATTGTCACAGAGGAGACCGACATCCCGGTGAGCCCCTGGGGGCCAGGATGCTGGGCAGGAGGAGGGCTGGGGCTGGGAAAGGTCTGCAGCTGAGTGCCCCAGTCCTATGAGGTGCCCAGCCCAAGTGTAAGGAGTCAGCTGCAGGCAGCTGTGCAGGAAAATAGGGGTGTCCTCCGGCCAGGTCTCATGAGAGATCTACTGGAGACCTATTTCACACCCAAGATACCTCAGCTACCTCAGACGCCATAAAATCAGAAAACAGCTTCTGTGGTAGTGTTGGAAACAAAAAGGTTTTAATAAAAGGCAAAATACTTTTTACTTTTTACAGAGAAAAACCAAGCCAGGTGCCAGAGGTCCTTGTAAAACACCTCACAAAAGCAATTAGTTTCTTTGTTCTCTTCTTTTTCTAGTAAATTGCTCAGGCAAGACTTTTTGGCTTCCGTGCAATCAGCTATCCTTAAATTTGAGGTGAAGGTTCTGTGAGATGTCTTTTCACCTAACTGAGGAGAGGGCTTATTTTCTTTTTAAGGGAACAAAGGATAGTTTTGTCATTCTGTCAACAGGGAGCACATTCCTATACAAGACTTTTTAGCTCCTGTCCTTAAGTTTGAGGTGAAGTCCCCCCAGGTCATATGAGGTGTCTTTTCACCTAATTGAGGAGAGAAACTTCTGGGCTCTTTTCCTTTTTAAGGGGACCAAGGAGAGTTTTGTCACTATAGGCTTCCTCTGACCCTGCTCTCTCTGCTCCCACAGTCTGTTGGTGACAAACACCGCATGAGCTTCCCAGAGACTGTAGACGAGATTCTGGACGTGTCAGAGGATGAAGGTGAGGGGTGGGAGTTGGGTCCCACCATCCCAAAGCTCTGCCACGCTGCTGGGTCAGTGCCAAGGGGATGGCACTGGTGTTCCTGCTGGAACAGGGACACCCCCAGGCCAGGGAGCTGTGTGGGCCCTGCTGGGGTCTTGCAGAGAGGATGAGGGAAGCCCACCAGGCTCCTGAGGTGGCACCTCCTGCCTTGGGTGCTTCCCTGCACTGTGCAGGAGGGATAAGTGTGGACATCTCCGTGATCCCATGGCCCAGGGACCGTGCAGAGAGCCCCTGGGCGTGCAGAGCCCCCACTGTGCCTTGCTCAGGCAAGGAGGGTCCCAGCTGCCAGCCCAGCTGCAGCTGGTTTGCTCCTGCACCCTCCCAACCAACACCTCACTTTTGCCTCTTCTTACTTTGCAGGCACTGCTCATGTCACAGTAATGGGTATGAAATGTGTCCCCTGCCCCAGCTCAATGGCCCATTTCACCCCATGGCCACTGACCATCCGCACGCCATGTCCATTGCTGAGCCTCGCTGCTGCTCGGGGCTCTGCAGAGCCAGCCCTGCCATCCTGCCCTGCCAACCGTGTCCGTGCTGCTTGCTGTGGTGTGACTGCATGAACGGGCATCCTCCCACCCAGGAGGAGCCTGAACCCCCTGTCAGAGCCCTGCCCACGGCAGGTGGAGGAACGTGGCACTGTGACAATCCCTGGAACTGTGACAATCCCTCCACAACTGTCCCACGCCATCCTGGCCAGAGCTGGGATTAACCCGAGAGCTCAGGGGTCTCTCTTGCTGTGGTTCCCTCCCATCTCTGGGGCTCTCTCTCTGCTGCAGGAAGTGCAGGACACCCTCCCACAGGGCACTGGCCAGAGCCAAACCCTGATGTGCTAATTAGCAGGTATTAATGAGGCCAGTGGTCAGCATTGGCAGAGCTCTGTGCCTCCAGTGAGGGGTAGTGTTAGGGCAGCCTTGTAATACTCCTAACATCCCCCAGTGGAGCCTATGTCCCTGTGCCGGGCATCAAAGTGTGAGGCATCCCCTCCAGTCTCTGCGGTGTGTTTGGTGCTGTGAGAAGAGCAGGGATTCACCTGAGAGCTCCAGGGTCTCTCTGCTGTGGTCCCCTCCCCATCTCTGGGGCACTCTGTCTGCTGCAGGAAGTGCAGGACACCCTTCCCACCCTGGCCAGAGCCAAACCCTGATCAGCTAATTAGCAAATATTAATGGGGTCAGTGGTCAGTATTAGCAGAGCTCTGTGCTTCCAATGAGGGGTAGTGATAGGGGAGCCTCCTAATACTCCTAACATCCCCCAATGCCAGGCACCAAAGTGTAAAGCATCCCCTGCACTGTGTTTGGAGCTGTGAGAAAGAGTTTAGGAGCAGCCACATTTCCCGGTGGCCCCCACAGCCCCTGTCCCCCTGTCCTGCCATTCTGGCAGCAGCAAAGCCCTCCCTGTGTCTGGCTGAGGACAAGAGGGTGGGTGTGTGTGTGTGTGTGTGTGTGGGTGTGTGTGTGTGTGTGTGTCCAGCAGGGATGGGCCCAATGGGTATCTGTGTTCCCTTGTTCATCTGCCTCTGCTTGCTGAGCCAACTCTTGGTTTCAGAGGAAGAGCTGGTTGCAAAGCCCAAGACACCTGATCTCAGAGAGCAGGAAGGCAAAAGAGAGCTGCTGGAGTTCATGGCCACGACGACACTGGAGCAAACGTAAGAGACACTGTGTGGTGGGGAGGGAGCAGGCACAGGGCACAGGACCAGCCTTGTGCTGGGCAAGGGGCACGTAAAACTCTGGGCAAGGAACAGATCACTGAGCCCTCACAGCAGGCAAAGCTGCTCAGTGCTGTTCCTGCAGCAAGACATGGGGCTGCTGCTTAATTTACCTTTATCCAGTGGCCCCAGGACTCTGTGGGGATGGATGGGCAGGGGCTGAGGATCCCTAACACTTCCGTGACTCTCACTAACCCTCTTCTGGCAGGGTGGAGTCTCCAGCTGTCCTGCAGGTCCCCTGCGTCCCACCTGAAACTGTGGTGACCAGAGCTGAGGAGACTGAGCAGGTAGGACCTGTGGAGACAGAAGCTGAGCAAGTCAGCCTGCTGCATGCACCCTCGGTGTCCCCACAGGAGGTGAGCATGACACACAGCCTGCCACGGCCTCCCCCAGAGCTCAAGTGTGTGGTGGGTAATGGGCACTGACCCGGTGGTACAGGATGGTCCAGTGAGGATTGTGTAAGGGTGGGCAGGCTCAACACCCCAAGACAGGACTCTTTGCCCACAAAATCTCTTCCCTGCCTTTCACAGCCCTCCAAAGAGTTCGATGAGGACTCTCTGATCCCCAGCAGCCCAGCCACGGAGACCTCAGACAACATCAGCCCAGTGGCCAGCCCCGTGCACACAGGGTGAGTGCCCAGCCTGGGCAGCACATGCATGTGACCGTGTTCAGAGGGGTTTTTGGATGAAGGAAGAGATGAGGATCTGACTCTGTGTTTCAGAAGGCTTGATTTATTATTTTATTATATATATTACATTAAAACTATACTAAAAGAATAGAAGAAAAGTTTTCATCGGAAAGCTAGCTAAGGATAGGATAGGATAGGATAGGATAGGATAGGATAGGATAGGATAGGATAGGATAGGATAGGATAGGATGATAACAAATGTTTGTGGCTCGGACTCTCTGTCTGAGCCAGCTGGGCTGTCATTGGCCATTAATTAGAAACATCCAACATGGGCCAATCACAGATGCACCTGTTGCATTCCGCAGCAGCAGATAATCAATGTTTACATATTGTTCTTGAAGTCTCTCAGCTCCTCAGGAGGAAAAATCCTAAAGAAAGGATTTTCCATGAAAGATGTCTGCGACACATGCATGCTCTGGCCGCAAGGTGCCCACATTCCCGTGATTCTATGCCCTGCAGGTTCCTGGTGAGCTTCATGGTGGATGCTCGTGGCGGCTCCATGCGGGGCAGCCGGCACCACGGGCTGCGCGTGGTGATCCC